TCCCCAACCTCTCCTTCTCCCCTTGCTGGATCAAGGCGTGGGAGACGTCACCGGGCTGCACGTGTGTTGAACGCGGAGGCGCCGTTGTTCGGCGCTTAGATCGGAATCAACCGCGATCTGAATCGCTGCGAGTACGACTCCTTCATCCGCGTTCTTGCAACGCTTCCGCTTAGCGATCTACAAGGGTATGTAGATGCACTCCCCTTCCCTCGTTGCTAGATTACTCCATAGATTGATCTTGGTGATGCGTAGAAAATTTTAAATTTCTGCTACGATCCCCAACAGAACTAATCACTATTACCGCTTGGTACTTATGGTGGGAGAGACATAGGCTGGTCCATGAAGGAAAGTTTCAAGATGCTCAGCAAACTTCTATGGGTATCCGTACTATAGCGGCAAACTTTGTTAATGCTTTCTCACCAAATGCAGTCAGTAAAAGAGGGGCATGGACTAGACCTCCAATGGTTTTCATGAAGCTTAATGTGGATGCATCTTTTGATCATGACTTGCTTAAGGGCACCGCTGGTGCTGTTCTCAAAGATGTTAAAAGGAAAATTCATTGTTGGCGGAAACTGAAAGGTTGATTGGTGTGTTGATGCCTTGACGGCAGAAGCTTTGGCTCTAAGGTTCAGATTATCTCTCGCCCATAAGGCGGGTTGCAATCGCTTTGTCATTAATGCTGACAATATGGAAGTCATTGATACCATGAATAATGGAGGACGTTCAGCAGAAGCGGCGGCGGCAGTGTTTGCTGATTGTTATTTTTTAGCATGCGATTTTTCTCTTACTAGTTTTGAGCATTGTAATGGGGAAGCGAATAAGGTAGCTCATGAACTTGCCAGATTAGCTAAATTTTTTGAGACAAGGCATTGGTTTGAGGAGCTTTTGGTCGAAATTGTACAACCTCTAATAGACGATGTAACCGTCATTTCTAATTAATAAAGTTGGTTTTTTTTTTTAAGCAGAGCCGTTATTTGACCGAGTAACTGTAGAGAACAATTCTTATATTTTCTCCCTCCTCCGGACCAGTTCAAGCTCAAGAGCACCAAGCCGCCACCAGGGATGAGAAAACACTGGCGGTTCTTACGCGACGCTGACCGGGACACAAGTTCTCCGCTTCCTCCTCGGAACGCTGCGGCGCATCTGAAAACTCCCCACAGCGTGCTTGGTGTGAGCGAGGAGCGCGGGCACCGTACAGTTCGGTTTAACACAATAACCTGCTGTTCGTCGTTGCTACCTCCCCGGCTTGTTTCTGACATCACGCTACTGCTGTGTTTGTAAATTGTAATCGTATACTCAACCCGTTTGACCAGGCCACAGGGATCCGTAATCATCACCCTAATCACCCACCATTTTTCTGCCCATTTACTTCCCGACCCCACACGATCTGACCATGCAACCACCACGGTTAAAAACGCAACATCAACGTACCATCCATCACACAACGACGCCGGCGTCGCCCTCGCCCCTACCAACACTGCGATCCGGAACATTCCCATCCCGCTCGACGAAATCCAGCGCCGTCGACTGGCGTCCTGCCAGGTGCACGCGCTGAAAAGCGCTCCGGTCGCCGTCCGGCGACCCATCCATCCTCATATTCCCCGCCACTCCCACTCGCGAGCTCGCGCGGCCGGACGGGGTCAACACGTCGCGCTCCTCCGCGGGTCAGATGGATGGAGTGCCCGGGGGCGCGCGCCAGGGGTCGGTTCGCGCGCGGAACACCTCCGCCTTTCGGTGGAGGCGCGGCCCCGGCCATGGATCGTGCGAGATCTTTGCGCTGCCGTCGTGGGAGCTAGCTGGCCCGCTGGCGTGCGCGGGACCTGACCGATCGATCGATCGCCCGACGTGTCGCGCCGGGGAGGCGGGGAGCGGAGCCGTCGCCCGTCGGCTCGGATCAGCCGCGTCGATCGACGTGCGGGTTTCCCGGCTCGGCGACGAAGTGCTGAGATATATTCCTGGGTTGTGGTGCGTGTATTTTCAGGGGATTTTTAGGGGTTTTGCCTCGCCTTTTTTCCCCGGCAAGGTCAAATGCCACATATATTAGCCTATTCTAGTTTTTTATACTTCTTTCTCTTGTTGTTTTGCCCTGTATAAACTTGGAAAATCTATGAAAATACACTGTGAGAAATAAATAATTCTCACAGTTTCAGGTCAACAAAAAAGGAACATACTATTAAATAGCACAAATCCTCTCACAATATAGCACAAAACCTTCGCAAAAACACACTTAAAAGAGTGATGCTAGGCTGACGGACGGATTTTTACGGTTTTCACGGACGTGCACAGGTGACATCATTTGATTGGGATTAGGGGGTGGAAGGGCCCCATCCTCTTGTAAAAGGAAAATACATTAGTTTTATGGTGAAAGATGTATTTTAGTTTACACATGGAGTATTTCACATGTGAACATCTTCTTGAGTTAAACTCACCCGACATCTTTGTAAGCCTTTTCTATGTGAGTACAATACACACAATGCATGCCTCACCCTCTCGTCACGACACACTGAACACACCATGGACGTATTTCCTATACATGACAAAGAAAAAAAATTGAAGGCGCCAATGACCACTTTTAATGTAAAAACATAATGCTCTACTTAAAAAAATGCGCGTCCACAGGCTCCTATTTCTCTCCTCCCTCACGGCTATATGCTCGTGTGCCCTTTTGAGCCTTTCCGAGGTATCCTCTCTTTTCCTTCTCCTCCTCCTCCTCCGCCGATGTGTTATGTAGAAGAAGGGTTGAGAGGGGCCAGAATTCACCGCTTATTTATTAATTCATCTTTGTTCATGGTGATGTCTTCCTCATCTCTTCGATGATGGCAACACTTTGGTTCTCTTAGTAACTCCACTTTAAATAGTCTTATACCCCCTTCGGTCCTTTTTAGTTCGCATATAAGATTTGACTGAAGTCAAGCCTCGTAAAGTTTGACCAACTTCATAGAAGAACGTACCAACATTCACAATCTGAAATCAATATCAATAGATGTGTCATGACTTAAAGTTTCATATTGTATAACTTTAGCATGGCAGATGTTGATATTTTTTCATATAAATACGGTCAAACTTTGTGAAGTTTGACTTCAGAGAATTCTAATATGCAGAGTAAAAAGGACCGGAGGGAGTATCTAATATAGTGTTCCACATTGGCATTTTCCCACGCTCCGAGTTTTGACACCATAATTCCCCTTTTTGGCGCCGTCTCTCGATATTTCTCATTTTGGGTGATGGAATTCCTTTTTTTTTTATTTGGATCCGACACATTGTGTAACTTTGGGCGCTAGATTCATTCACTTGTCTTGTTGACTTTTTCATCACAAAAAGCGTGCTCTGCGCTTACATTTAAAACAAAAACATCTCAAACTATGAAATACGAAATTAAACCTGAGAGAGTCTAAATAAACAAACTCTATCTTTCCTGCCACCAGGCCTATGACCTATTCGTGGAATCTTTGAGGTATTCTACACATGTTCAGACATGGGGGCAGATATGATACTATTTTTCTCAGGGCCTAGCATAGTTAATTTCATGTTGAACTGGTCGGGATGCTCAAATTTGGTATAATTTGGGAAATATACCCCCTGCGGTCATTTTTAGTCAGTATATAAGTTTTGTCTGAAGTCAAAATATCCCTACTTTAACCAAACTTATAGAAGAAAGCATCAACATTCACATCGCCAACTCAATACTGTTAGATTCATTATGAAATGAAGTTTCATAGTTCATATATTTAGTATTGTTGGTGGTGATATTTTAAAATATAAATTTAGTTAGACTTTGCAAAGTTTGACTAGACCCAAATTTAACACACGGAGTGGAAAGACCGGAGGGGGTACATGCATGAAGCTCCTCAAATTGCATCAAACCTGTGCCACTGGTGTAAACTATACAGTAGGAAACACGACGTATGCGCATTTGAGCTGGAGATTAGAAGCATACTTTCGGGGGTAAGACGTGATTTTACTGTTTGTTTTTCGTTGACCTATATATATGTATTTATTTTTCTAGTGACTCCCATGACTCGATCAATGATGGGACGTGACTTCACCAGATGCTAGTACTTCAAACAAAGCTGTACTCCACTCCAACAAAAGACCCACGTAACAAATCCACCTCCTGCTGCCATCTTAAAAAGGAGAGGGGTGAAACGCCCGCACGTAAAGGGCGACGGTGACCGCCGTGCTTCTGTTTCGCCAACACTTGGAAAGGGCACGCGGAGAAGATTTTCATGTCAACTTCGAATCATTTCTATTTTTTGGAGTTTGGATTAAGATTTTTGTGAAGGGTCGCATGATGTTGCCTCTTCCCTAGAATTCTCGTTGACATTCTCTAGCAGTCCTCCCTGGAAAAGAGGGGAGCTTAATTAAGAGCCGTGTTTTGACCATGCCGTGACGGCTTGCCGGCACAAAACAAAAGGAGCGACGTGCAGGGCTGCGAGCGTGCAACAATGTATGGGGCAAAAGGAGAAAACAATGCAGGATGAAGTTTTGATAAAAAAAAAATATGCCTTTAGCTCTTTATATGGAATTTTGTGGGGAAGAGAAAAATGTTTTCTGGGCTTGAAAGTGCATGCAACGTCAAGTTTGGAGCGACGTACATACATACATACCTGAGAGTTCAGTTACTGGGAGAAAGTCAGAAAGGATGAGCAGTGAACATAGTCGAGGAAGTGCATGGTGGCGTTACTGGAGCCCAGCCCGGCGACAGTTGCCGCCGTCAGCATGGCGCCTGGCTCAGAGAAGGGCTCACACGTACAACCCTCCCCGCCCTCTCTTCACGCCACGTACCCCCTCGCCCCGCAACGTCTCTCTCTCCCTCCCTCCTTCCACCGTGACCTGACTGACCCTCCTCCGTCTATATAAATGCAGCTCCGGTGCACCGATCTTACTTGGAACTCAGACAGGCAGACCGTCGTCACACACACAGTCGCGGCGAACAGCGGCTCCCGGAATTCCCGGGTGAGAAGGGCAGAGCGATCGAGCCATCACTCCGCCGGTAGCAGATGGGGAGGCAGCCGTGCTGCGACAAGGTGGGGCTGAAGAAGGGGCCGTGGACGGCGGAGGAGGACCAGAAGCTCGTCGGCTTCCTCCTCACCCACGGCCACTACTGCTGGCGCGTCGTCCCCAAGCTCGCAGGTGAGCCGACCCCAACGCGTGCATGCCATGCATGGAACCCGTCCATCAGTCCTCTGCTCCCGCTCCGGCTTGACGTTCTCACTTGGCATGGATATGTTGCACTGTGTGCGCAGGGCTGCTGAGGTGCGGGAAGAGCTGCAGGCTGAGGTGGACCAACTACCTGAGGCCCGACCTCAAGCGGGGGCTACTCTCCGACGAGGAGCAGCAGCTCGTCATCGACCTGCACGCGCAGCTCGGTAACAGGTGCGTGTCTAGTGTAGCTCGTGTTTTAATTTGGAGTCCCGGCCTCCTGCGGTGGCCGGCGGCGCTCATGGACCATGCCCATGGCGGTGCGCGCAGGTGGTCCAAGATCGCGGCGCAGCTGCCCGGAAGGACGGACAACGAGATCAAGAACCACTGGAACACCCACATCAAGAAGAAGCTCCGCAAGATGGGCATCGACCCCGTCACCCACCGCCCGCTGGGCCAAGAGGCCCCTCCTCCCCTGCAACATCCGCCGCCGCCGCCGACCGCCACCTCGTGGCAGCAGCTGGACGGCGCGGAGCGCTCACAGCAAGCGGAGGAGGAGGACGTGAAGGCGGTCCCGCTGATCCAGCCGCACGAGGTCACGGCGGTGCCGCCCACCGCGAGCAGCAACTGCTCTGTTTCCCCTGCCTCGGTCATCTCACCGTCCTGCTCCTCCTCGTCCGCGGCGTCCGGCCTGGAGGCGGCGGAGTGGCCGGAGCCCATGTACCTCCTCGGCATGGACGGCATCATGGACGTCGGCTCCGGCTGGGACGCCGGCTTCGTCGTCCCCGGTGGCCTGGGCGTCGACCCGTTCGACCACTACTACCCGGACCCCGCCGGCTTCGACCAAGGAGCCTGGCCGTGACGCCATCGATCCTACCAGCAATGCACATAGACCGATCATAGATCCGCTTCTTTCGCCAGTTCGATCTCCCGTTCTCCCCTCCCCTAGCTAGCAGCTTAGTTCCATGTCTGGATGTTACCGCCATGCCCACCTGAGCTTTTCTTGGAACTCGGAAGAAATGCATGATCAGGCCATGCCGATCCATGCTCGGGTGTTTGCTGAATGAATCTCGATAAAGGAAGAGGAAATCCCGACGACCGTGTTGTGATGCGAGCAGGGCTGGTCTGTATCGATCCGAACGTGGTATGCGCGCGTCTCTCTTGGCGAGATCGATGGATGCGCCGCGCAAACTGCCGGCGTGAGCGTCAGCGTGGGTGTGTCAGCTTCCGAGTTTGCATGCGGCGGTGCAGGAGACTTTTTGGGTCCGAGAAGGGGCTGATGGCGCCTATTGTCATGACGCGCGCGCGTGACGACGGCCGCGTCGCCGCTTCTTTGACCTTCTTGGCAAGCATGCATGCATGCCAAGCTCGTGGTTCATTTAGTGTTACGAGGTGGTTTGTTCACCCCGTTTGTTATGTATGCTCAACTATAAAAAGTTAACTAGTTTTACAACATCCTTGCTAGCCACCGGATGTGCATACAGACACGAACAGTAGTGAGACCACACGAGAAAAAAAAATGCTTTCTGAAGTGCTGCTGCGCAAGTCGAGCAAGGGAAATGATAGAGTATAAAACTACTACTTTATAGGCTAGGGTTTCAAAAACTTATCAGTTTTTATTTTTTTCTCAGATAACTATCAAATGGGTAGTCGGCTGTTTCAAAAAATCCAAAATCTTCGTTGTTAAAAAATTAAAAATCAGTAATTTTTTGAAACCTTAGCCTGTAAAATAGTAGCTTTTTGCTATTTACTCGAAATGGTACGAAGGGCAAAGGTTCCCTTGAACACAGAATGTTCCAGTTGCTGTTCCTCTCGTGAAATGGGCTCGTGCTTGGCTGCCACAATATTCTTCGCAGGGGGGGAGTGACAAGTGTGTGATCCGTGGCAAGGTGAGGGATTGAGGGGTCTCAGGCCAGGTGCTTCTCCTGATGGCGACCATGATGCGCTTCAGTGGATAGCTGGTGCCACTGCTAGATGGGCAACCCCGCTTCCGGCCACCTGCAGCGTTGCCGTCCAGTACAGGCTCCAAATCACCGCGTATCGGAATTGTTGGTGATGATGATTTTTTTTTCCAGAGAGAACGATGATGTTTTTGGCAGCCCAGGCGATCTGATTTGGGCTTGTTTGTTAGTGGGGTTAACAGCTGTTTTTCTTCTTCTTGGAAGAATTCTTGTGGGCCAGAATTATTTTGCCAGCCCCGTCCACTAGCTCAGCCTTTACTTGTTGCAGCCCATTTGTTTAGATGTACTAGCTCTTGTTCATGGGAACAACTAGTTTTCTTGTCTCTTTTTGGTGAAAAAGATCAGATCTATTATAAAAGTTCTTCGAAAGTACAAAGCATCTCAAACATAATAAATTTTATGATTTAATAAAAATAATTTCAAAAAAAATACCGTAAAAGGCTTTCGCCCTGCTTTATACATAAAGCAAACCACCCAAGCCACAAACATACATACGGGTTCAGCCACAGCACGCCCAAGGCGCGGAGGTCCAACACACACACAAGCACGACACGAGGTACAAGGTTAATGCTGAGGGCACAGCTGAACAAGCCCAAAAAAAGAAAAAGAAAGTAGGCCGACACATCGAAGATAGCTGGACGCCTAATCTGGTTCTGGAGGAGGCGGCGGAAGCGGAAGCGCCACACAGAAGGCCATCGCTCGAAGGTCAGAGATGAGAGTGTTGACGACGTTCCGATCCTGGATGCGGCTAAGCGGCCGCCAAAGCTGCAAGGAACCACACATTTTAAAAATGGCGCCAGTCGCACGACGAAGAGGAGATCGTTGGATGACAAGCCTATTGCGCACGGTCCAGAGCGTCTAGGCTAGCACCCCAACACAGAGCCACCTAATGTGGCGGTGACGGGGGGCAGAGGCCTGAATCTCCGCCAACAAGTCGGGGAAGTTGGTGTTGCACCAAGTTCCACCAACCACGTCGCAGAAGCATGACCAAAGGAACTGGGTGGTCACGCAAGAGAAGAAGATGTGGTTAGCATCTTCAGCTACGCCACAAAGGGGCACAGGACATCGCCAGGCCCGTTGCGCTTGCGCACCTCAACACCAGAGGGCAAGCGACCACTGATCCACTGCCAGAGAAAGATCCTGACCTTCAATGGGAGGCGGATATCCCAAATCAAACTAAACGGCTCCAGGGCCATAGATGGGGCAATCGCTTGATAGAGGGACTTGGTCGATAAGCGGCCTGAAGACTAGTCGCCATGAGAGGGAGTCATCAGCGTTGCCCACGTCGAGAGGCTGAAGGGCGATGGCCTGAAGGAGAGCATCCCAAGCGGCGACCTCAAGGGGTCCAAAAGGTCGACGGAACGCAAGGCGCCCTAAGTCAATAAGGGACACCTCCACGGAGACCCGAGGGTCGGCCGCGATGGTGAAAAGCTCGGGGAAGCGGGCGGCAAGAGGGAGATCGCCAACCAATCGGTCGAACCAAAACAAGGTCGAGGCACCCGATCCCACCGAGATGGACGTGCCGATGCGGAGCACTGGCATGAGTTGGACCACGGCTTGCCAGAACTGGGATCCTCCCGAGCGCTGGCAGAAGTCAAGGGGCTGGCCCCGAAGGTATTTGGAGCGAATGATGTCCAACCACAGGCCGCCCTCATCATTGGCGATCTGCCACAGCCATGTGTCAGGAGAGCAATATTCATGCGCCTAGAGGCCATGATCCCAAGACCTCCCTGGCGTTTGGGTTTGCAGATGTCTGGCCAGCTAACCATGTGGTATTCCTGCGTGTCCCCCTCGCCCGCCCAGAAGAATTTGGACTGGTATTTGGCAATCTCCTGATGCAGAGTCTCATGTAAGCTATAAAAGCTCATCAGGAACCAGAGGAGGATGGAGAGGGAGGAGTTGATGAGAATCACCTGGGCGGCCTTGGATAGCCACGTGCCCCTCCAAGGCTCCACCCGGTGCTGCAGGCGGGTTACGCTCGGCCGCAGGTCCGCCATCGTGAGCCTGGAATCGCTAATGGGAATCCCCAAATAAGTGATGGAGAAGGAGCCTAGTCAGCAGTTAAGACGATCGGCCATCCCATGGCACTCCTCCTAGGAGTAGCCAAGGATCATCACCTCGCTCTTGTCAAAGTTGATCGTGAGGCCCGGCATCTGCTGGAAGCAGAGGAGGAGGAACTTAAGGTTGGCGATGTCAGCATCCGAACCTTCGATCATGATGATGGTGTCATCTGCGTACTGAAGGAGGGAGACCCCTCCCCCTCCCACTAGATGGGGCACCACCCCACGGGTATGGCCAGCAGCCTTGGCTTGATCGAGGACATCTGCCAGGGCATCAACCACCATGTTGAAGAGGAACAGGGAGAAGGGGTCGCCCTGGCGAACCCCACACAGGGTGGGGAAGTAGGGTCCAATCTCACCGTTAATGTTTATTGTTGTTCGACCGCACGAGACAAGCTGCATGACACGGGTGACCCACCGATCGTCCAAGCCCTTGTGGAGGAGGACTTCACGAAGGAATGATCACCTAACCATGTCATAAGCTTTATGGAAGTCCAACTTCAGAAATACCGCACGCTGGCGCTTTGCGTGGACTTCATGCAGGACTTCGTGGAACACCAACACCCCATCTAGGATGAACCGACCTTGGATGAAGGCAAATTGGTTGGGGTGGGTTATGGAGTTAGCGAGCAGGGTCACCCTATTGGCGTACCCTTTCGCAAGAATCCGAAATATCACGTTAATCACCATGATAGGATGGAACTAGCGAATATCCGAGGCACCCGGGACCTTAGGATTAGAGTGATAATCCCATAGTTGAGGCGACCTAGGTCCATGGATACCACATATAACTCATTAAAGAGTGTCGTAACCTTGGGTTTGATAGCATGCCAGAAGGTTTGGAAGAATTTCACCGGCAAGCAATCTGGTCCCGGAGCGGAGGAAGGGTTCATGCCCTTAATCGTGGCGTGAACCTCTTCCTTCCCGAAGGGGGCCATAAGGGCCTCATTGGCCGCAGCCGAGACCAGCTGACAGCCTACCCAGGTATCTACGGCCAGAGAGGCGCCACCCCTAGGGGAGGGGGAAATGGGGCTTTATAGAAGCCGTCGACGTGAGCACGGATCTCAGCGGGTCAAAGGAGGATGGTGTCCCCATCCCATAGGCAGTAGATGGAGTTGCGCCGGTGCCTACCATTGGCAATAGCCTGGAAGTAAGCGTTGTTGGTGTCCCCATGAAGCACCCACTGTTGGGTGCCCCATTGGCGCCAATAAGCCTCCTTGTCTGTATATATGACCGAAAGCTGGTCTTCGAGATTGTAGCGCAATATCCATTCATTGGAGGAGATCCCGGAGGAGTCTGCCCGGGCGTCTAGAGCTTGAATGGATGTAAGTAGAGTGGATTTCCGCTCCCTAAGGTCCCGTCCAAGGTTGGCCCCCCAACCCTGTGGGAAACGTAGCATGCAATTTCAAAAAAATTCCTACACTCACGCAAGATCTATCTAGGAGATGCATAGCAACGAGAGGGGGAGAGTATGTCTACGTACCCTCATAGACCATAAGCGGAAGTGTTTGACAACGTGGTTGATGTAGTCGAACTTCTTCTCGTTCCGACCGATCAAGCACCGAACGTACGGCACCTCCGAGTTCTGCACACGTTTAGCTCGATGACGTCCCTCGAACTCTTGATCCAGCAGAGTGCCGAGGAAGTAGATGAGGTCCGTTAGCACGACGGCGTGGTGACGGTGATGGTGAAGTGATCCGCGCAGGGCTTCATCTAAGCACCGCGAGAATATGACCGAGGGTGTCATCTGTGGAGGAGGGCGTCGCACACGGCTAGGTAATTGTCTGTTGTGTGCTAGGCGCCCTCCTCATATATATAGGTAGGAGGGAGGGAGGAGAAAC